TGGGAATTTTGAGGGATTTGGGGGAATTTGAGGGGAATTGGGAGGATTTTGGAGGGATTTGGGAAATTTGGGGGGGTTTTGGAGGGATTTTGGGGATTTTAGGGGAATTTGAGGAATTTTGGGAATATATGGGGGGATTTGGGGGGATTTGGGGAAATTTTGAAGAATTTTGGGGGGATTTGGGGAATTTTGGGAAGATATGGGGGGATTTTGAAGAGATTTGGGGGAATTTGGGGGGGATTTTGCGGATTTTAAAGGAATTCGGGGAATTTTGGGAAGATTTGGGGGGATTTGGGGAAATTTTAAAGAATTTTGGGGGGATTTGGGGGAACTTTTGAAAAAATTTGGGAAATTTTTGGGTGAATTTTGGGAAAAATTGGGATTTTAAGAAGATTCGGGATTTTTTTGCAGTTTTTTGGGGGTTTTCAGAAGGAAAAATGGGGATTTTAGGGGATTTTTTTCGCACTTATTTGAGGATTTTTAGGGGGGATTTTGGGGTGGTTGGGGGTGTTTTTGTGGATTTTAAAGGAATTCGGGGAATTTTGGGAAGATTTGGGGGGATTTGGGGAAATTTTAAAGAATTTTGGGGGGATTTGGGGGGACTTTGGGGCCTTTTTGGGGAGATTTTTGGGGGGATTTTTGGGAGTATTTTGGGAGGGATTTTGGGGCATTTTTGAAAGGATTTTTGGGTATTTTGGGGGGATTTTGGGAGATTTATGGGGTACTTTTGAGAGGATTTTGGGGTATTTTTGAGGGAATTTTGGGGGATTTTGGGGAGGATTTGGAGAAAATTCTGAGGGGATTTGGGGGGATTTTTGAAAGGATTTTGGGGTATTTTTGAAAGGATTTTTGGGTATTTTGGGGGGATTTTGGGAGATTTATGGGGTACTTTTGAGAGGATTTTGGGGTATTTTTGAAAGGATTTTTGGGTATTTTGGGGGGATTTTGGGAGATTTATGGGGTACTTTTGAGAGGATTTTGGGGTATTTTTGAGGGAATTTTGGGGGATTTTGGGGAGGATTTGGAGAAAATTCTGAGGGGATTTTGGGGGATTTTTGAAAGGATTTTGGGGGATTTTTGGGATGTTTTTGGGGTATTTTTTGGGGAAGATTTTTGAGAAGATTTTAAGAGAACCGTTGGGGATTTTTGACATTTTTGAGAGAATGTTTAAGGAGAATTTTGGGGGCATTTTGGGGAATTTCTGAGCGGATTTTGGGGTATTTATTTGGGGCAGTTTGCGGGATTTTTGTGGGGATTTTGGGATTTTTTTAGAGGAATTCTGGGATATTTTGGGGGGGATTTTGGGAGGACTTTTGAGGAGACTTTTGAGGGAATTCTTGGGTATTTTTGGGGGGGATTTTGGGGTATTTTGGGGGTCTCTTACCCAAATTTGGGGCTCGGAGGAGCAGGAGCAGTCGGAGCTGAGGGACGAGGTCGGCGAGCCCGGCTCCGATTTCACCTGCAGATCTTTTTGGGGGGATTTTGGGGGATTTTGGGGGATTTTGGGGGATTTTGGGGGATTTTGGGGGATTTTGGGGGATTTTGGGGGATTTTGGGGGATTTTGGGGGATTTTGGGGGATTTTGGGGGATTTTGGGGGATTTTGGGGGATTTTGGGGGATTTTGGGGGATTTTGGGGGATTTTGGGGGATTTTGGGGGATTTTGGGGGATTTTGGGGGATTTTGGGGGATTTTGGGGGATTTTGGGGGTTTTGAGTGACCCCCCCACTCCAACATCCCAAATGTTCTTTTACAAACCCCAAAAAATTCCTCCTAAAATTCCTCCTAAAAACCCTCCTCAAATTCCCCCTAAAATCCCAAATTTATCCTAAAATCCCTCAGGATCACCCTGAGCTCCTCCCAAATTTCCCCTAAAATGCCAAAATTCCACCCAAATTTCCCCCCAAATCCCCCCAGGACCACCCTAAACCTCCCAAAATCCCTCTTAAAATCCACCAGGGCCCCCAAATTCCCTCAAAATCCTCAAGACCACCCAAAATCTTCCCCAAATCCTCGCAAAATTTCCATTAAATCCCCCCCAAATCTCCTCAGGACCACCCAAAACCCCCCAAAATCCCCCACAAATCCCCCCAGGACCCCCAAATTTCCCCTACCAAACCCCCCCAGGACCCCCCAAATTTCCCCAAATTTCCCCCAGTCCCACCTGGGCAGGGCAGGGGGGGCTCCGGGTGCCAGGGGGGGTCGGGGGGGCTGGCGCCGCCCCCCCCATCCAGGGCACAGCCGAACTGCGGGGGAGGGGCAAGAGTCGGGACCCCCGAATGGGCGTGGCCACGCCAGACCACGCCCAAAAGTGGGCGGGGTTTGGAGGGAAAGGGGCGTGGCTTACCATGGGGTCGGGGTCCAGGGAGGGGAAGAGGTGGGCGGGGTCCAGGCGGTCGTCAAGGCAACCGTAGAGGGCATCATCTGCATAAAAGGGGGCGTGGTCGCGGCGAAACCACGCCCACCCGATTTAATCCCGCCCCAAACAAACCACACCCAGTTTGCCCCGCCCATTTTGAGGTAAAACATGCAAACCACGCCCCACTTAGGCCACGCCCAACAAATATTTTAACTCAAATCACGCCCACACAAGCCACGCCCCGGAGTTGATTTGTTTAAAAGACCACGCCCCCTCTCAGCACGCCCCGCCCCCTTTCCCCACACGAATCCCCCCTCCCCACGGCGGGGGTCCCTCCCCAGGCCCGGGGCTCACCCCAGTCCTCGGCCCCTAGCAGATTATCGGCGCGGAACCGCCCCGGGTCCAGCTGCACCAGCAGCTCCGGCGCCAGCGCCGCCGCCGCCATCTTCCCCCCCTCACGCCGCCTGGCCACGCCCCTTCTGGCCGCCAGCCAATCAGCGCTCGCCCTGCCTCAGGCTCCGGCCAATAGCAGCGCAGAGAATTCCCGCCCGCCTCCTGGCGCATGCGCGGCGCGGCGCTTCCGGCCTCCCTCAGGGTTTTAAAGGGGAAGCGGCGGCGGGTGGCGGCCCCGCGGCGGCGGCACCGGCGCGGATTGCGGCCCCGGAGCGGGCAACCGGGAGCCCCGGGGCGGTAGGAGACGCGGCCGGGCCCGGTGGGGCGGGAAAGGGAGAGCGGGGTTGCCATGGCAACGGCGCGGCGGCGCGGCGGGGCCTAGCGGGGGAGAGAGCGGAAGTGACGTCACGGCAAGGGGAGAGCGGGGAGGTTTCGGCTTCAGCGCCCTCAGGGGGAGTCGGGGACAGGCCACGCCCACTTAGAGATAGCCACGCCTCTTGAGGGCTGGCCACGCCCATTGAGGGCTAACCACGCCCCTTTACAAAAGACCCCGCCCCCTAAATGAAAACCACGCCCTTTATTCTCTAGGGGGATCGCGATTGGTTGAGAGGAGATGGAAGTAGCGGCATCGGCCAATGAGGGAGCGGCACTTCCTGGAGGAGCCAATGGGAGCAAAGATGGTGAGGAGGCACTGGCCAATCAGCAGAGAGATGTAGGATTAGCAGCAGCCAATGAGGATGCGCCACTGCAGGGCTCGGCCAATGAGAGGGGGAGGAGCTGCAGCTCAGCCAATCAGGACGCAGAGACACAGGAGGTGACCAATGAGAGCAAGGAGCCACAGGCAGCCAATGAGGACACAGCATGCAAAGCACCGACCAATGAGGACACAGTGCACAAAGCTCCAACCAATGAGAGCAGAGGACACAAAACTCCAGCCAATGAGAACGCAGGACAGAAATCCACAGCCAATCAGAACCCAGCACACAAAACTTCAGCCAATCAGGACTCAGGACACAAATCTCCAGCCAGTCAGCACAAAGCAGCACCATCCACCAATCAGAACGCAGCGCCCAGACCCACAGCCAATGAGCAGCAAGCCCCGCCCCTCCTGGATCCCACCAATGACCTGATGCCTCTGTCGGCCGCAGCCAATCAGGCGCGAGACCCCTGGGATTGGTCGCTGGAGGAGGCGTGGCTCAGGGCGCCCGATGAGGAGGGGCTGGAGGAGTGGGGGGCGGAGCTCGAAGGCTGGGAGGCGGAGCCTGACGACCTGGAGGAGGAGCTTGAGGACTGGGAGGTGGAGCTGGCGCTCTGTGGGGCGGAGCTTGTGGGCCAGGGGGCGGAGCTCAGAGCCCAGTGGGCGGAGCATAAAGGTCAGGGGGTGGAGCTTGAAGGGGAGGGGGTGGGGCTTAAAGGCAGAATGCTGGACCATGAGGGGGCGGGGCTTAAAGGTGGGAGGGAGGAGCTTAAAAACCAAGGGGCTGGGCTTAAATCAGAGGGGGCAGAGCTTAAATTAGAGGGGGCGGAGCTTAAAGCAGAGGGAGCTGGGCTTATATTGGAGAGGGCGGGGCTTAAAGTGGAGGGGGCGGAGCCTAAAACCCAAGACGCTGGGCTTAAATCGGAGAGGGTGGGGCTTAAATTAGAGGGAGCTGGGCTGAAATCAGAGAGGGAGGGGCTTAAATCAGAAGGGGCGGAGCTTAAAAACCAAGCGGTGGGGTTTAACTCAGAGGGGGCGGAGCTTAAAGCGGAGTGGGCGGGGCCAGGCCTGGCGGGCGCCTGGCAGCCCAGCCCGGACGGGGCGTGGTCCAAGCTGACGCTGCGCCGTGGGCGGGGCCTGTCGCGGCCGGGGCGGGGCTCGCTGTGCCGCGTGCACCTGTCGGTGCCGCCGTGCAGCCGCGCCCCNCGCCCGGCCCGGCCACGCCGGCGCCGCCCGCGAGCTGCGCCGCGTCCGCGGCAAGGCCCGCGAGAGGGACCGGCGCCTGGCCACCCGCCTGGGCAAGATGTTCGCCTGATTAGCGTAATTAGTGCTCCTTACCGTACATTACTGTCCGTTAGGGGTGTTTGTGTGGTAATTTGGGGGAAATTAGGGAGAAATTAGCGCTAATTAGACTGATCTACTGCTAATTGGTATGTAATTAGCAATAATTAGTAGTTAATTAGCACTAATTAGTGTTAATTAGGCGGTCATTTGTGGGTAAATAGGGTCTATTATGGGGTAATTGGTGTGTGGGACACAGCCAGGGAAACAGACACGGGGCTGGCAAGGAGGCTGCTTAATTAGCGCTAATTAGTGCTCGTTACTGTATATTACTGTCCATTAGGGGTTGTTTGTGTGGTAATTAGGGGGAAAACCAACGCTAATTAGTCCTATTTAGTGCTAATTAGTGTGTAATTAGCAATAATTAGTAGTTAATTAGCACTAATTAGTGTTAATTAGGCGGTCATTTGTGGGTAAATAGGGTCTATTATGGGGTAATTGGTGTGTGGGACACAGCCAGGGAAACAGACACGGGGCTGGCAAGGAGGCTGCTTAATTAGCGCTAATTAGTGCTCGTTACTGTATATTACTGTCCATTAGGGGTTGTTTGTGTGGTAATTAGGGGGAAAACCAACGCTAATTAGTCCTATTTAGTGCTAATTAGTGTGTAATTAGTAATAATTAGTAGTTAATTAGCGTTAATTAGGGGTGATTAGCACTGATTAGTGCTAATTAGTGTTAATTAGGCGCTAATTTGGGGTTAAATATGGCCTATTATGGAGTAATTTGGGTTCAGGAGGTGGCCCAGGGGAGTGACACTTGGCTGGGCAGATGTTCGCCTAATTAGCACTAATTAGTGCTCAACAGTGTCCATTATGGGGTATATATATGGTAACTTGGGAAAGTAGGGGGAAATTAGCGCTAATTAGCTTGATTTAGTGCTAATTACTATGTAATTAGTAGCAATTAGAGCATAATTAGCACAAATTCGTGCTAATTAGTGTTAATTAGGCGCTAATTTGTGGGTAAATAGGGTCTGTTATGGGGTAATTGGTGCGTGGGACACAGCCAGGGAAGGGACACGGGGCGGGCAACGAGGCTGCTTAATTAGCGCTAATTAGGGGGAAACTTGGGTGATAATTAGGGAGCTATTTGGGGGTAATTTGGCGATAATTAGGGAGTAATTAGGATGTAATTACGGGGAAATTGGGGCGTAATTAGAGAGTGTTAATTAGGCGGTCATTTGTGGGTAAATAGGGTCTATTATGGGGTAATTGGTGTGTGGGACACAGCCAGGGAAACGGACACGGGGCTGGCAAGGAGGCTGCTTAATTAGCGCTAATTAGTGCTCGTTACTGTATATTACTGTCCATTAGGGGTTGTTTGTGTGGTAATTTGGGGGAAATTAGCGCTAATTAGCGTGATTTAGTGCTAATTGGTATGTAATTAGCAATAATTAGTAGTTAATTAGCACTAATTAGTGTTAATTAGGCGGTCATTTGTGGGTAAATAGGGTCTATTATGGGGTAATTGGTGTGTGGGACACAGCCAGGGAAACAGACACGGGGCTGGCAAGGAGGCTGCTTAATTAGCGCTAATTAGTGCTCGTTACTGTATATTACTGTCCATTAGGGGTTGTTTGTGTGGTAATTAGGGGGAAAACCAACGCTAATTAGTCCTATTTAGTGCTAATTAGTGTGTAATTAGTAATAATTAGTAGTTAATTAGCGTTAATTAGGGGTGATTAGCACTGATTAGTGCTAATTAGTGTTAATTAGGCGCTAATTTGGGGTTAAATATGGCCTATTATGGAGTAATTTGGGTTCAGGAGGTGGCCCAGGGGAGTGACACTTGGCTGGGCAGATGTTCGCCTAATTAGCACTAATTAGTGCTCAACAGTGTCCATTATGGGGTATTTATATGGTAACTTGGGGAAAGTAGGGGGAAATTAGCGCTAATTAGCTTGATTTAGTGCTAATTACTATGTAATTAGTAGCAATTAGAGCATAATTATCACAAATTCGTGCTAATTAGTGTTAATTAGGCGCTAATTTGTGGGTAAATAGGGTCTGTTATGGGGTAATTGGTGCGTGGGACACAGCCAGGGAAGGGACACGGGGCGGGCAACGAGGCTGCTTAATTAGCGCTAATTAGGGGGAAATTTGGGGACTAATTTGGGGGTAATTAGGGAGCAATTTCAGGGCAATTCGGAAAACGTTAGGGAGTCATGTGGGGGTAATGTGGCGGTAATTAGGGAGGAATTTGGGGGGAAGCAGGCGCTAATTTGGAGGTAATTAGCAGGTAATCAGGCCGGCGGCAAGGCCCGCGAGAGGGACCAGCGCCTGGCCACCCGCCTGGGCAAGATGTTCGCCTAATTAGCGTAATTAGTGCTCGTTACTGTACATTACTGTCCATTAGGGGGTGTTTGTGTGGTAATTAGGGGGAAAACCAACGCTAATTAGTCCTATTTAGTGCTAATTAGTGTGTAATTAGTAATAATTAGTAGTTAATTAGCGTTAATTAGGGGTGATTAGCACTGATTAGTGCTAATTAGTGTTAATTAGGCGCTAATTTGTGGTTAAATATGGCCTATTATGGAGTAATTTGGGTTCAGGAGGTGGCCCAGGGGAGTGACACTTGGCTGGGCAGATGTTCGCCTAATTAGCACTAATTAGTGCTCAACAGTGTCCATTATGGGGTATATATATGGTAACTTGGGAAAGTAGGGGGAAATTAGCGCTAATTAGCTTGATTTAGTGCTAATTACTATGTAATTAGTAGCAATTAGAGCATAATTATCACAAATTCGTGCTAATTAGTGTTAATTAGGCGCTAATTTGTGGGTAAATAGGGTCTGTTATGGGGTAATTGGTGCGTGGGACACAGCCAGGGAAGGGACACGGGGCGGGCAACGAGGCTGCTTAATTAGCGCTAATTAGGGGGAAACTTGGGTGATAATTAGGGAGCTATTTGGGGGTAATTTGGCGATAATTAGGGAGTAATTAGGATGTAATTACGGGGAAATTGGGGCGTAATTAGAGGGTAATTAGGGGACAATTTGGGCCCAGGGGGGCGGCCGGGGCGAGGCATGCACAGCTGGCCACAAGGCTGGGGAAAAACTCCGCTTAATTAGCTCTAATTAGCGGTAATTTTGGGGTAATTAAGGGGTAATTAGTGTCCAGGGGCACGGCCAAGGAGGGTGACACGGGTCTGGCCACAAGACTGGGGAAAATGTGCACTTAATTAGCGCTAATTACGGGTAATTAGCTTTAGTTAGGGGGTGAAAAGCGTTAATTAGTGAGGTGGAATAATTAATATTGTTGTTGTGTGTTGTTAGGGCGGTGGCTCGTTAATGAGCTGCTAATTGTGCAAATGTATAATAAAAGCGTGTTAATTATGTTAATTACAAACTCGTTTGGTGTCTCCTTACCTGTTAATTAATGATGTCTGTTAATGAGGGCGGGCTCATCAAGGGGTTGGGAGTGGCTCTGTTTGTGGGGGTGTTAATTAAGCTGATTAGCATTGCTAATTTATGCTAATTAACCCCAAATTCATATTTACTAAGGGTGAAACCCCACCCCCAATTAATAAACATCTTAATTAACAATAAATTATTAATTAGGGAGGTGAGCAGGGCGTTGCCATGGAGACCACCAACCCCTCCCAGCCCCTGGCTCCGCCCCTCATTAACATAATCACCGCCCCTCCCCCTCATCAATCCAGAGCTTTATTGAGCCACCAAAGGGGGCGGGGCACAGCGCGGGGGGCGGGGCTTGGCATGCAAATGAGGCGCGGCCGCGAAGCGTGCGGGGGGCGGGGCCTGGCCGGCCGTTGCCATGGCGACAGCGGGGGCGGCGTCACCGGGGCAACGGGCCCGGCGCTATTATGGGATGGGGGGCGTGGCCGGGCCGCGTTGCCATGGCGACGCGGCGGGACGCGCGGTTTCCACGCGGTCGCCATGGCGACGACAACGCCGGCCTTATTATGGGATGCCGGGAAAGCCACGGCAACGCCCCCAAAGCCGCGTCTCCCCCCCCCCGTTTCCATGGCGACGGCGACGCCTCCTCTGCCCCTCCGCGTCACCCCCCGCCCCCCCTTATTATGGGATGCCGGGCGCCGATTTCCCGTCCCCGTTGCCATGGCAACGCCAGCGTTTTTTTCGGGGGGGGGGCGCGGTTGCCATGGCGACGCTCCTGGCGTCACCCCCCCCTTATTATGGGATGCGTAGCGCCGCGATTTGGGGCCCCGTTGCCATGGCAACGCCGCCGGGTTTGCTTTGGGGGGGGGGTCCATCCCTGAAACTCGGTTGCCATGGCAACGGTGACGCTCCTCCGGCTCCCCCCCCCCAAAATCCATCACGGGGCTTATTATGGGATGGCGAAGCCCCTCCCGGGCGGGCTTTGGGGGGGGTTTTTTGGGGATTTTTTTTGGCTTTTTTTGAGCTTTTTTGGCTTTTTTTGAGCTTTTTTGGGGGGGGGGGATTTTTTGGAATTTTTTTTTTGTTTGTTTTTTAATGTTTCGGGGGTTTTTTGGGAGGTGTTGTTGGGATTTTTAAAAAAATCTCTTTGGGATTTTTTTGGGGTGGGAAGGTTTTTTTTTAATTTTTTTGAGTGCTTGGGGGTTTTTTTTGTATTTTGGGGAAATTTTGGGGATTTTTTTTTTTGTTTTGGGGGGCTTTTGGGCTTTTTGTGGCCTTTTTGGACTTTTTTTGTGCTTTTTCTGGGATTTTTTCACGCCTTTTTTTTTTTCTTTTAGTGGGATTCTCTGTGGCCTTTTTTTTTTTTTTTTTTTTTTTTTTTTTTTTTTTTGCGGGATTTTTTGGGGACTTTTTTTCAATTTTTTTCCGGTCTTTTGGGGAATTTGGGGTTTTTTTAGAGATTTTTTTTTCTGATCTTTTGGGGGGTTTTTTTGAGGGTTTTTTTTCAATTTTTTTCCCGTCTTTTGGAGAATTTGGGGTTTTTTTAGAGATTTTTTTTTCTGATCTTTTGGGGGGTTTTTTTGAGGGTTTTTTTTCAATTTTTTTCCCGTCTTTTGGAGAATTTGGGGTTTTTTTAGAGATTTTTTTTTCTGATCTTTTGGGGGGTTTTTTTGAGGGTTTTTTTTCAATTTTTTTCCCGTCTTTTGGAGAATTTGGGGTTTTTTTAGAGATTTTTTTTCTGGTCTTTTGGGGGTTTTTTTTGAGATTTTTTTTCGATTTTTTTTCTGGTCTTTTGGGGAATTTTGTGGCCTTTTTTTTCAATTTTTTTTCTGTCTTTTGCGGAATTTTGGGGCTCTTTTTAGAGATTTTTTTTTTTGGCCTTCTGGGGTTTTTTTTGAGATTTTTTTTTTCAATTTTTTTCATTCTTTTGGCAAATTTTGGGGCTTTTTTTTTAGATAAATTTTTTCCCTTATTTCGGGGTGATTTTTTCCCGGGTTTTTTCGGGTTTTGGGGGTCTCAGGGGTCCCAGTCGTTGTCCTGGTGCTGCGCGGCGATGATGATGACGACGGTGAGGATGGTGCAGAGCACGATGGCGGCGATGCCCACGGCCAGGCTGATGAAGGAGAAGTTCCGCGCCTCCCTGGAGGCGATCTCGGCCGACACGATGTCGCCCCGCGCCACCGCCGTGCGCACCTAATTAGGGACGGCGGCTAATTAGTGCCGGGCACGGCGACGGAATCCGAAATCCCACCGGAATCCCCGAGAAAAAAACACAAATCCCCCCTAAAACCACAACAATTCTGCCTAAAACTAACAAAATCCCACCTAAAACCAAAAAAATCTGCTTCAAATAAACAAAATCCCACCCAAAATCAACAGAATCCTGCCTAGAATAAATACAGAAATCCCAAATCCCACCTAAAACCAACAAATTGCCCCTAAAACCACCAAAATCCCACCCAAAACCTCTGAAATCACCTCAAATCCCCCCAAACCCCCTCAAACCTACCCAAATCTCCCCCAAACCCCCTCAAATCCCCCCCAAATCACCCCCAAATCCGTACCTGCACGGCCTTGACGATGGCCACCACGCCCGTGGGCCAGAAGCAGCAGAGCGTGGTCAGCACGGCGATGGGCAGGTAATCGTGGGGGGGCGACCCCCGGTGCCCCTCGGGCGCCCCCAGACCCAGCGGGGGCCCCAGGGCAGCCCCCCCGGCCCCGCCCACCGCGCCGGGCAAGGGGCCGGGAGGGGCGGAGCCGAAGCTCTGCGGGGGGAGGGGTTACAGGAGGACACGCCCCCCCTGCGGCCCCGCCCTCAAATTTGCCTCCTTGAAATTCATTTCCGGGATTTGAACCCAAAACGGGGTCAGGCCACGCCCCTTTGTGAAAGCCACGCCCCCTTAGACACACCCAGTTGGCACCGCCCACCTGTGTCCTGACCATGCCGCTAAGCCACGCCCCTTTTGATTTGCAGCTGTTTGCCACGCCCCTTTTAAACCACGCCCTCATTTGACCACGCCTTGTGTTTGGCCACACCTCCTTTAAATTCCCCGGCTTTAGCCACGCCCCTCTTTAACCACGCCCCCTTTAACAGTGCTTCCTAATTAAACACAGCCCTCTTTAGCCACGCCCCATTTAAACCACACCTCCTCCTTTGCCACACCCCTTTTAACCACGCCCCTCTTTAACCACGCCTCCTGTCCGACCACGCCCACTTGTTAATCATTCCACATTTAACCACGCCCCTTTAACTGCATCCTATTTGACCACACCCCCTCGTTAACCCCACCCCAATTAACCACAACCTTTAAAACCACTCCCCTTAACCACGCCCCCTTTTAACCACGCCCCTTTAAGCCACACCCCTTTCACCACTCCCCCTTTAACCACACCTCCAAATTAACCACGCCCCACATTTAACCACGCCCCCATTTAACCACACCTCCACCTTAACCACGCCCCCTATTTAACCACGCCTCCAGGTTAGCCACGCCCCCTATTTGACCGCGCCCCAAATTTAGTCCTCTACATTCAACCACGCCCCCTCTTTAACCACGCCCCCTTTACC